GTGTGTGTGTGTGTGTGCGCGTGTGTGTGTATACATAAAATATTTACTTAAGTATATTATAAATAATAATAAAAAATAAGAAGATATTTAATAATATTTTTACTCTTTATTGTATTATCCTATAAAAAGTACATAATACGTATAGATAGATAGTATGTATACATACATACGTCAGTTTCCTTAAAATTAATGATGGTCGAAAAAGTTCTTAAAAATTTATGACAAAATTTATACGAATCGAAGCACATTATTTTCTCTTTTGCTTTTTCCGTAAACTTTTAATTTCGATGTTTATGAACATTTCTGAAAATTTTTACATGAAATTCGATATCTTTTTGAAAAATTATGTATTGTACAATTTTTTAAAAGAATATTTTAAAGCTAGAAAGTCTACTTTAAATTTATTAAGTCGAATTATGTTTTATCAAAATACAGTGCTTAATAGTAAAACAAAAGTACTTAAAAAATATCAATTTTCATTTCATGTAATTTCACAAATTATATATAAAGTATTTTAGAGGCAAAATAAATTCAAACGCCTGTGTTTGAAAAATTCTATTTTTTCTTTTTAAAATGCATTTTTAAAAACTTCTTTTTTTTCACCGACGTTTAGTTTAAAAATGTGAAAAAATTGCAAGCGTTTTCGAATTTATGAACGGTAGTATATAAAATTACATTTAAGCTATCATAATTTGATCGGTTTCATCATCTTTTTTATAGATTTTATCGGTTTCATCTTTTTTATAGATTACGTCGCTATGAGAATATCTTCTACTTAGTGGAGAATTTTCTTTATTTTTTTTATTATTATGTCGTCTGTGACGTATACGCCGTGCTATCATGGGAAAGAATAAATTAGTGTCTATCTCGTCATTTTGATTCTTGATGAATAAACGAGACAGATTACTGACAAGCAGTCCGAGTATGAACGTCATTAATAATCCGATAGGGCAGTACCACATATATGAAATACGGTACAAATAAAAGTACGAACTGTCGTCGGTTCTTCTGGAAAAAGAATGCGACAGTTTGTTAATTTCTTGTATATGTCGATATATGGAACGAACGGTTTAATAATATATATAAAAATTAGATGCACTTAGATATTTCTAATACTTTATTATTTCTACACATTTTCGTATTTATAATTTCAAGCTCGATTGTCATTGTTATAAATTTAATACCAAATTCAACTACAATACATGATTACTGTTATTGTCGAAATTTTACGGTTTGAACAAGGATGTATATCCATTTCACACGGGCTGTTTCTCTTCTATTCAGATCTCTACCCATATATTAATTGGTTTATACAACTGGGAGATAATTTTTTCCTTTCTGCTCACAATAGAAAAAATACAATTTTCAAATTTGTGAATTTAGAGCATAGAGAAGATAACATTAAAAAATTTCCTCTTTCTTCTCAATAACAAGTAAAGAATATGTCTATTCCCATTATAATCAGTAACTTATTTTCTGTCTCTCATTTCTTGATCTCTCCAAATCTTCAGGAAAACCTTGCATGTTCTATACTTAGATCGAAACAAAAGAATTTCTGTTTAATGACTCTAACTTATTACTTCTACTAGGGCAGATAAAAGCAATATAATAGTCGTTATGAATATCTGCGATTATATATAAGAATAAGATAGGAATTCTCTATTTAGTGACTACACTTGTACATATATAAAAGTTATTATGAAAAACCATACCTGTATTCTCATAAGTAAAATGAAAACATTGCTTACAGGATGAAAAAATTTTAATTGTACAAGTTATATCTATGTCACGTGAATTGAAAATACACATAATAGGCTTTTAAACCTATTTTTATGTCACGTACCTTTTACAACTATTGACTATTAGGGAGGGGGAGTTAAAGATAATTTTAGTCCATTTTTACAAGTACTCAACATGTCGTTTCTCGCTTATGACATCACAATCCAGCAACAGCTATAGTTAGGACAGAAATGTAATCGAATTTTTTGTTCGATCAAAATTATTTGAAATATTTGAATATTACTTTTTAAAAAGAATCTGATCATTTTGATCGAAAGAAAAACTTGACAAATTTTTTTAGTGTAACCATGATGTACTTCATTTAAAATTTTATCAAATCACAGATTGTACTCACTGTCACACACAATTTCTGTCAATAACTTGTGTTTGTTATTAGATTGTATTAGCAAAACACGAGATTAATACGGATGCAGATGATATCGAATCTGTCGCAATGTCTGAGCAAATTTACTAATCTATTATAAGCTAATCTATTATACTACAATTAATTTACTTACTGATTGATTATATTTTGCACCATTAAAATTATATAGGACACTTAAACATGATGATATATTACGGAAAGTTTGAATGTTCTAGCAACTAGATCGAGCGTCTTAAATAATTATTTTAATGATTCAATATAATTATTTTCAGATTTGAATGTATTTAAGTTTTTATATTTTTCAACAAAACCGTTCTTTCCATGTAGCTACTATTCGATAAACCACTTACTTGAAGAAGCTGATCTGCAAATCGGACATTGTTATATTTGCGTTATTACAACCTTTTATAGTAGTTGGCAATTTAGGCGGTATCGGACGTGGCTGACCGAAGACAATCCACAATAAAAATGAAAATGTTATAAGAGCACCGGTTATTGCACCTCCTTCCGTCGCCGATTCCGTGCCCATGCCAAGAGTAAAAATGCCTAATAATGGACCACCAATTATTCCAGAAAGGGTATAGAAAACCTACAATTTGAGAAATTTATTTTATCGCTATTGATTTTTATTTAGAAATAGTAATTACCTGAAGTAGTTCGTTCAAAAATTGCACTAAAAATGCCAGTACAATAGAGATAATACCGAAGATAAAAACGAGCACTTTAGCGATGGAGGTTGACGTTGCAGGGGAGAGTTCATTTCCAATGCACTTTCTATATAGAGGTTTCAAATAATCCTCAAGCGTTATTGCCGCCAAAGAATTTAATACCGCAGAAATTGTGCTGAGGCCTGCGCTAAAAATACCTAGAAATAATAGACAATTTAAAATTGTAAATATATTTACTAAACGCTTTAAAATTGTCTTAATTAATATGCATAGAAAAAGTCGAAAGTGGATATTATAAACATATTCACTATGCGTTTTTATTTTAAAACTGACTTGAAATTGCGCGTAAAATCAATATTTCAGATATTGATACTTTCAAATATTTTTATCTTCATGATTTGTAGTATTTAATTTCTATGAGATATTAAGCCAGTAATTTGCTTCTCAGGATTGGCGATAAAAATATTACCTGCAATGAAGAGGCCTGGTAAACCAGATATATTGGACATTGTGTCCATGACGTACAGTGGCATAAGCATATCAGGAGAAGTAATTCTTTTCTCGAGAAAGGGATCGCAATTGTAATACCTGCTGTATATTGCCAATCCTGAGAAGCAAATTATGATTAAGAGAAGGATTATAATAGGGCAGCTTAACCATACGGCTTTTTGTGCAGCCTGCATATTTCTGAAACAAAATTAAATTAATGCATTTTTTCAATTTTTAAACTCATCGGTAAATGTATTGTTAAAAGAAAATGTTCAATTTTAATAAACACGTAACACAACGTAAATACATGAAAAACTTAAAATTACATGATTAAATTGTCATTGTTCCACATATAAATAAGTAAAGCATCAGCAATATTGCTCTAGTACATAATTTTTTATTAGCATCAAGTGTTGCTTAAATTATAGAATACTTAAATTATTTACTTTAAAGTCAGTATACGTTGTATTTGAACTTGGTTCACTCCCATAAGTGTTAAGCATATACATAAACCACCCAGCGTAAGAGACC